CCAGTGTGCCGGTTTAGCAAGTGGAATGGTTCAACCGGTGGTACATACCGGTTTGTGCCGGTTCATGCCGGTTAATATTATAAATAATTTATATATTATCATATTCAAACACGACATTTAACGTCAATATCTAAATATTTGTACTTTAATCCAACAAATAAACATCAACATTTAACTTTTTAACACATAAAATAAATAATAAATTACTTTTTATCAATTAAATTCACTAAAATAAGATCATTTTATTTGGAGATTCGTATATCGATCATGCCGGTCATACCGGTGCTGTCATGCCGGTTTTATGACCGGTACAGGTTGAACCAGGTTGAACCACTGGCACGCCGGCCGGCGTGACAACCATGGCAACGGCGATCCTCTCGGAACTGTGGGGTATCTCCTTCGGTCTTGACATTGCTTGGAAGTACGGAGGAAGGGCTATTCACATACAGACTGATTCGCAGTTGGCGCTGCAGCTTCTTAAGGGTCGGCATGACCCGATTCACCCTTATGCTACTATTCTCTCTGCCATTCGCAGGAAGCTTAACCGTGACTGGCTAGTCCGTTTAACGCATACTTACCGGGAAGGGAATAGAGTCGCGGACTGGCTCTCGAAGCACAGTCTCGTCTATCCCTACGGTATGCATGAGTTAGCGAACCCGCCTCCGGAGGTTAACTCTCTGCTGAGAGAGGACATCATGGGCATCACCATCACCCGTAGGGTTGTTGCTACTTCTTCCCCCCCCCCCCCCCCCCCCTTTCACCTCCTCCATGTAATTCTCTTTTTTCTTGGCAGTTTGCCTCCCTCTAATGCAAAAAAAAAATTTAATTTCAATCATTTATGTATCTCCTTGCTTTTCGTCCAATAGATAGGAATCACATATACAGTGGCGGACCAATGAAATATTTTAAGGGTGTTCAAGAATATAACAAAAAATTAATTCATATTGTGCACAATGTCATCATTTTCAACAACAAATCAAACGTATTTTCGTATTTTTGTAAATTTTCAAAAATATATGAATTATTTATATTATGACTCATCGATAAATGTAACCAAGAAATCGTTCATAAACTGATATTCATGCGATAAGAATTGAGATGGAGTAGGGTAGTTAATAGGTTTTTTTTCCAAAGAGGAATATAAGAATTAATGAATTGTATTTGGAAAAATTAATAGATTTGGAATTAATTCATGTCTCTTAAAATAGTACTGCATACAAACATATTAGGGTTCTAAAATTTTATAAAAATAATCCTTTGTAGTATAAAAGAAAGATTCAATTCAAGTTTCAAGGATCGTCAAATGATGTTGAGTTCAATATTATTATCATCACAATAAAATTTTCCACTAACTTTTTGTCCCAATTCTATAACTAAGGGTTGTCAGCTGAATACCCTTAGAACAACATAGGTCTGCCCCTGCACATATAGCTCGCGTTCGTGTATAAAAAAGGGGGGAAATGACATGTAGGAGTTGTGAGAACTTGAATCTATGTTTATGTTATTACCTTGTTACTATTGGGCTAACTGGTCAACATGTGTCATTTGATAACTGGACTTGTACGGTTGACAACCTAGACCGTGGGTAGAATATATTTAACTACTAAATCACAAGTTTTCGTTTTTAAAAAGAATGAAATATCATTTAGGTAACTGATCTGATATCTTTCTTATATCCAGAACATCGATAAAATCATTAATATTGTTAATTAGTACTATAGTTATAACGCATCATTCTTTGACAGGTTTTTCAAAAATTCTTTGACACCTTAGTACCATGAAATTGGATCTCAATTTTATATATATATATATATATACCTATTTATAAATGTTGTTTTAGACATACTAGATTTTTTAGTGTGAAACAAAATTATGTACACGAATATGAATATTATTATTGCTCAATTGATATGATTATGTAGAAGAATTTCTTACTCTTGACTTCTGAAGCGGAATCCAACTACATTCCAATAGAATCTATAACCCCCAATGAATTTACACTTTCTCAAGTCTCATCATTTAAACTAGGGTAAATACAATTTAATATCCAAACCTTTTATTTTAAACAATATAATAGCCAAACCTTTTCGAAAACAATCTAATATCCAAATTGTCAACTTTTTGTCTGTTTGACCGTTAGTTGACACTTCAAAAAAGTTCGAAGTATGACACTTCATCAATATCCATCGATATCTTCCCTGAAAAACCACCAACATATCGTAGTTCCAAACCCGAGAAGTCCATGACTCCACCATGATGGTATATAATATCTAAATATTCAGTCATCTGCAATGCCAAAACAAGAAAACAAAGGTGTATTGTGACAATTTCTCCTAAACAAAGCTTTTTTGAAGTGTCAACTAACGGTCAAACGAACGGAAAGTTGACGATTTGGATATTAGATTGTTTTCGAAAAAGTTTGGCTATTATATTGTTTAAAATGAAAGGTTTTGATATTAAATTGTATTTACCCAATAAACTACCATTCAGCATTTCACAAAAAAATACATATAGCTCAGCCAAGAGCCCCAAAAAGCCAAAAACTAAAAATATTCCATTGCCGGGAATCGAACCCGGGTCTCCTGGGTGAAAGCCAGATATCCTAACCGCTGGACGACAATGGATTGATGTTTTGATCTCTACCGTTATATTAACCTTAAATGGTTTGGGGCGGGTAGTGCTACACAATTGGGACTCTCAGTTTCAACTGAATAATAATAACAAACGAACCATGGTGTGCTTGCTTGGTTCAATGCTAAGCCTGTGTTGCCTCAATAATTTTGCACTTTTCAGCAAACTAATTATGACCTAAGTACTATCTTCTCTTCACACCATGGCATATGAATGCAATCAATGATATATTCTCGATAGTTAGAATTTGATCTCGAAAATCTGTGGACAGTTAGTTCAAACGATTAGGAAAAATGAGGAGCAAAAGTCGAAACTTATACCAACCCGTCTTAGCTAAGTTGTGTATTGAAGTTAAGTTGTGTCAATCTAGATATAAAAATTTTAATCCTACTTAATAGCTGGCTAGAGGTACATATAGCGTTCTTTTGATACATAAAAAATGAGCTATCATATAGTTTAGGCATCTCAAATAGTTAATTCAACAATGATGAGTGGCATTCGGATTCCACAAGATCTCTCAAAATTTAACAAAAACAATCATGTTATAACAAATTCGAGAACAATCATGCTATAACAAATTGGGATATCATATATACTTTATTACAGTCCTCACATACAATAAATAAGTTAAATTGTTTGGGTGCTATTGAGTTCTCTTTAATTGTAAGAGTTAGAATGTCTTCTAACTCTTACAATTCTAAAAGAAAGTATTGCATAATCACTCATTTTCTGTTTCTTATCATGAATATTAAACTAACTATTGAATAATCTCATTATGAAGTCCTTACAAAATTCATGTACGTTGGTTTGATTGCTACATCGATCTTATTTAATTATAATATTTAGGATATCTTTTATGTACGTTCATATTCCAAAAAAATTTCTCATAATCACTTATTTTTTGTCTTATTGTGAACATCAAAATAATTAACTGAGTAATGATTATGAAGATCTTACATAATCTAACATGGTTAAATCATTTATATCAATACCCGGTCATGAATATATAACACATAATCTTGTCAAAAAACTATTGTAAAAAATATATATAACACATAACTAGTTGCATATGTATTGTATTATAATCGTACCATTTCAGAAAAGATTTCCACAGATTGATGTAAATTAAGATGGCTAGATACACAATTAATATGGAAAATCATATATCAGATTCCGTGACAATCTATAGTCATATTTTTTTAATCAAAATCTGCTTTCATTTTATTAAGCAGAACTTGAGGCGACAATCTATAGCCATAAGTAATACTACCATGCATAAAATATCAAAACAAAATTGGGATCGAACTCCAACTCCTGCCTGTCCAACTCATCACCATCGTACCATCCAATCTATTTTTCTTACAACAATTTTGTGATTTCACATTAACTGTCATATCCCAGACCAAATCTCTGTGTTTAATGCATGGTTATCATTAATTAAATCAATTATAGTAAGTAATTAACAACCTCATGCACATCCATTCGCACGATTGGACCATCTTTGTCTTGTAAGGGTTAATTTGTGGTGGTCGTGTTTTTCTACGTTCATTTCCTGACACGCTATTTTGATGTGGTTCAATAAAGATTATTGAAAAAATCTAGTTTTTACATCTAGAAAGATCTGACCATATGCGTGCTATATATCTTTATTTTTTGAGTCCAGCAAATGAAAAGAAGATTTAGCTCGAATTTCTGGAATATAATTGAAATGAAATACCTTATATCAACAAGGCTTATGTTTGAGTAAAAAGGAAACGAGAGTCTTCAAACTCCGAAACGGAATGATCGTCATAATTATGATAAAATTGCTCTAATATATAGTCATACGCAAAATGTTTATGCTAGATCGATGTCACTGAGAAGGTCAACGAAACTTTCTCGCAAAACAAACACCATCATGTAATAGAAAGCAAATCAAAATTAAAATTAAAAAAAAACACATTTGCGATCCCCCTTTCTCATCGCGAAAAAACTTACCATATATGAATCATCACCGATATATTAATCTCACATTCTCACTCCACAGCATTAAAAATATATCCTTATTAAAAACTAAAACTTATCCTTAATCGTCATGCGAACAAAAATTATGTTTCCTAATTTCACCAAATCGTGTATATAGAATGTAAATCAACACTTTTAAACCCCATGATTCCCAAAGATTTTCTTCTTATGGTATATTCACTAATACTTCCATCCACCCCTTTCCCCCAAGACAACTAATGTACAGCTCACTCACTTATCACATCACAACAATTCATCACTAGTTCCCCCCTATATAAACCTCACTTGTCACACAACATTTCCACACCATCACCTCCACCTTCAAAATCCAAACAACAATTCAGCCTGTTGTCATCGTCGCGATCATGACGAGGAAGAAGGTGAAGCTGGCCTACATCGCCAACGACTCGGCCCGCAAGGCCACGTTCAAGAAGCGGAAGAAGGGCCTCATGAAGAAGGTGAGCGAGCTCAGCACCCTCTGCGACATCCAGGCCTGCGCCATCGTCTACTCCCCTTACGACTCCCACCCGGAGACCTGGCCGCCGACCGCCGCCGGCGTTCACAGCGTGCTGTCCCGGTTCAAGAAGGTGCCGCAGATGGAGCAGTGCAAGAAGATGGTGGACCAGGAGAAGTTCCTCGGGGAGCGGATCAAGAAGGCGGCGGAGCAGCTCAGGAAGCAGGAGCGGGAGAATCGGGACAAGGAGGTGGCTCAGGCCGTCAGCCAGTGCCTCGAAGGGAAGATGGCGCTCCATAGCTTGACGTTGACTGATCTTGACGTCATTTCCCGCTACATCGACGGGCAGCTGAAGGACGTCGACCGCCACATCGCGGATCTGGGCCGTGGTGGGCCGACTGGGCCGGATTCGAGTCAGGCCATTGGGCCGGAAGTGGTTGTGAACAGTGGGCCCAAGGAGGAGTATGCGGAGAGTATTGAGAGCATGCAGAGGCAGCAGTGGTTTATGGAGATGATGAACCCGGCGCCACCGCCGGGGCCGATCCCGGTGACGGCGGCGGAGCGGCAGATGGGGTTCGTGGGGGAGGGTCTGATGATGATGGCGCCGTCTGCGGCGGTTGGGGGCGGTGGCGGGTTGCATTTTGGGGAGAGTTCGAGTGCCGTCGGCGGCGGCGGTGGGGGTAATGGTGGTTATAATAACAGCAATGGTAATTCGTTCTGGGGTGGTAATCCTTTCTTGATGGATTGATTTGGACGATTGTTGAATGATGATTAAGATGGGGATTTGAATTTGAGTTTTTATGTTTTATTGAGCGTGGGGAGGAGATGAGTTCATTATCAGTGTAATCGTGATTCGTGAGTGATTTGTGGGTATTTAAACATATATTTATGGATTTGATTGTTGTTGATCTTGTGTGTGTTGTCTTCGTTAATGCTATATGTTGTTGTTGTTGCTGAAAGTTGTGATTATCTAGCCTTTGCTCCAATAATATATGTATGCATGTGCTAGAGAAGCTTTAGAAACTGAGATTGTGGCAGTAGTTTTAAATTTATGTGTCTCAATTTTGTTTTGAAATATGGTTGGATTTCGAATTTCAAAAATTAATATTAGCATTTGCCGTTAAGTAGTATGAGATTCATTATCGTAGGCAATGTTTAACAACGTATCTTCAGAGACCAAGAACTACGAGATCACCCCTTTTATTATGGGGTGATGGAGGGTTCGTACCATTCGAGCATTTTCCTCAACGAAATCTTTCAATTTCTTATTTTACTATGTTCAATTTTATGAATTTCCATATCCGTAGAGTACATTGAATGTAACAGCTAATCTAGGAGAAATATTTTCATGCGGTGCTAACGATGACGAAGGATGTTGAAAAATTATACTCTGACTAGATTTGAAAAATATATATTCTCTAATCTCTTTCAATTAGAGTGTTAAACCATATAGATGCATAGTTCAATTAAGTTCAAATCTCAAAATTTAAATTTTATTTAGTTTGATTTGTTCCATTAACTAAAAGCATACAAATCCGATCAAATCGAATTTCATCATTTTTTCCTCTTTGTTCGATGGCTTGTTATTGGCTAATTATCATAAATGGTCACAAAACTATCCACTTTGTACAAAACGGTCACAAATCTTTAATTTTGCACGTTTCAGTAACATATGTTTGGACTAATAACAAAAAGGTAATTCCGTCCATTTCCATCCAAAAGTCTGTTAGTTTATTTCAATCAGCACGCCATGTCATCAACAAATAATAATAAAAAAATTAATAGACCAGATCAATTAACCAAACCAAACCAAACCCAACCTACCCAAAATAAACCCAATCCCAGAACAGACTCAAATATGTTTCCCCCCTCTCTGTAACCCTAATCCGACCGAGAATCATCCTCAATCCAATCCCGGATCCCCAATAAAAAATCATCAAACCAAATATGTTTTCGAGAATCAGATCAAATATGTCTCCCCTCTCGCGATTCTTCTTCTGACGGCCCTTCCTCCGTCCAACTCGGCGACGATTTCGAGCCCATCTGGCGGTGCTTCCCTGAGAGCCGAAGTTTTTTAGCAGCAATGCTATTGGAAGCAATGCGAACTAATACAGCTGGAGATGAAGTGTCCTTCTGTAGCTTCTTCCTTCTAGATATTTTCTTCTTCCTCGCCACAACATCATCTCTTTTAGCCATCCTTTTGTTCCCTTACATGTTTTGCCCAGAGGTGGCGGCGGGGCGGGGGAGGGCAAGAACGGAGGAAAAGGAAGTTCCAGGTGGGTTGAGTTTGGTTTGGGTAGGTGTAATTGGTTAGGTTTATTGATTTTTTAATATTATTTACTGATGACATGGCGTGCTGACTGGAGTAAACTAACAGATTTTTGGATGAAAATGGACGGAATTACCTTTTTGTTATTAGTCCAAACGTATGTTACTGAAACGTGCAAAATTAAAGATTTGTGACCGTTTTGTACAAAGTGAATAGTTTTGTGACCATTTATAATAATTACCCCTTGTTATTATAGTATCTCGATCCGCTTCTAAATCAAAACAAATTCATTGTCATTCTAATCTAGCACTGATTTATTTTTTACTCATAATGGAAAATTAATCAGAACCAAATTATAAGAAACTTATCATTGGCTACTATTAGGAAAGGAAATTTCTGTATTGACCAGTGGATTCTCAATTGGGCCCAAAGAACCCAGTTTGCCTTAGAGGCCTGGTAGTGAGCCCTACTAACTACGATCTGAAAGCTTGAAACTACGTCATTTCCATTTCGCCAAGCTTGTTTGTGCGGACGCCAGAGTGCCACCGGGCAACCAAAGTCCCCAATACTGAAGAAATCCAGAAAACCAGAAATCTATCCGTTCCGGATGAACAGTCAAACTGCCTTCTGCCATTTCTTCAGGTACCCAAAGCCATCAGCTTCCTGACAATCTTGCTTCTTGCTTCTTACTTCAAGTGCTGCGGGAAGGAGACCTTAGCATGCTTTATTGCTCTCGTTCTGGAATTTTGGGTTGTGGGTTTTGCTATGAACTGCTGAATTTGCTGGAAAGATGCAAGCTTTGAGTGTCTGGCCGTCAAAATCTAGCTTATGTACGCTTCCCCTGGTCGAATCGGACTTGGCTTCGTGCCTTTACAGCTGTAGAAGGAAGAAAGTTGGCATTTTTGCTGTTTCTTTGTTTCATAATTCAATTTATTATGGTCATTTCCTATTTTCTGCTGGTTCAAGGTATGGTAGAAGTAGTAATGGGTTTACGTGTAGATACCCTAAGCTACGATTTCATATTGTTGCTGAGAAAAAGAAAGATTGTGCTTGTTCATCTGTTGCATCAGCATGGGAATTGGATGAAGAAGAGACGCAGAGTCTTGTTCGTAGTAGTACTCAATCCAACACAGAGAACGAGAACATCGATGGAGAATCTCATGAATTTGATAGGGTAGATGCCAGTAATGGGATCAGTGATCCGGAAGGGAAGATCGATGTTCGAGAGCTGGCCAAGAGCTTACATGCTGTTGAAACAGCAGATGATGTAGAGGAGGTTCTTAAAGACACGGGGATATTCCCAATTCGAGTGTATTCCTCGTTGATCAGGGGTTTCGGTTGGGACAAGAAGATGAAGCCAGCATTGGCAGTTGTGGATTGGCTCAGGAGAAAGAAGGTAGAAACTGGTGGTGCTTTTATTGGTCCAAACCTCTTTGTCTACAACAGCCTGTTGACAGTTGTAAAAGACTGCGAACAGTATCAAGAAGCCGAGAAAGTAGTGAATGACATGGCTCGTGAAGGGATCCATCCCAACGTCGTGACTTACAACATCTTGATGATGATCCATGTCGAGCAGGAACAACCCTCCAAGGCTCTCAGTATCTTCGAACAGATTTGCCAGAAGGGCTTTACACCATCTGCTGCTTCCTATTCGATTGCCTTGATGGCTTACCGTAGGATGGAAGATGGAGATGGAGCATTGAAGTTCTTTGTAGAGTTCAAGGAGAAGTATGTAAAAGGGGAGCTGGGGAGAGATAATGGTGATGATGAGGATTGGGAGAAGGAGTTTGCTAAACTCGAGGACTTCACGATCCGGATTTGCTATCAGGTGATGAGAAGATGGCTCACGAGGCTTCAAGACATGAGCACAAAAGTATTCAAGCTTTTAACAAGTATGGATAATGCAGGTCTTCAAACGAGTCGAGCAGAATATGAACGACTCATCTGGGCTTGCACGCGGGAGGATCATTATCGTGTGGCCAAAGAGTTGTACACTCGAGTCAGAGAAAGATATCCTGAAATAAGCTTGTCTGTCTGCAACCACTTGATTTGGTTGATGGGAAAGGCGAAGAAATGGTGGGCAGCTTTAGAAATTTATGAAGACTTGCTAGACAAGGGACCAAGCCCTAATAACTTATCGTCCGAGCTAATCATCTCTCATTTCAATGTCTTACTGGCCGCTGCTAGCAAACGAGGGATTTGGAGGTGGGGAGTTAGATTACTTAACAAGATGCAGGATAAAGGACTTAAACCCGAGAGCAGGCAGTGGAATGCAGTTCTCGTGGCTTGCTCAAAAGCTGCTGAAACTTCTGCTGCTGTGGAGATATTCAAGAGAATGGTCGAGCAAGGCGAGAAACCAACAATTATCTCCTACGGTGCACTCCTCAGTGCACTCGAGAAGGCCGGACTCTACGAGGAGGCCTTTCGCGTATGGAATCACATGCTGAAAATGGAAGTCCAACCCAACTTGTATGCATACACCATCATGGCCTCTGTGCTAACCGGGCAAGGCAAGTTCAGGCTCGTCGACTCCATAATCAAAGAGATGGTTGATGTCGGTATTCCACCCACAGTTGTCACGTACAATGCCATCATCAGTGGGTGTGCGCGTCGTGGGTTGAGCAGTGCAGCGTACGAGTGGTTTCATCGCATGGAGAAGCAGCAGGACGTGGGGCCAAATGAGATAAGTTACCAGATGCTGATTGAAGCTCTGGTGAGAGATGGAAAGCCGAGGCTTGCCTACGAGGCGTACTTACGTGCTCAGAATGATGGCATTGTTCTTTCTTCGAAGGCCTATGATGCTGTTGTGGATGCTTCTCGGGCTTCAGGTGCTACCATTGATGTGAGCTTGCTGGGAGATCGGCCACCGGAGAGAAGGAAAGGAGGTGGAGGGGTGAGGATTAGGAAGACGCTGACTGAGTTTACGAGGTTTGCTGATGTTCCCAGGAGAAGCCAACCGTTTGACAAGAGGGAAATCTACTATAGACAAGGAAGGGAAAGCTAATGCATGATGAATATGTAAGACTGCTGTATTCTTTTGTGTCATTTTGTATATTTGGGTTGTCACTAGAAACTGTCACTGACCAGATCTTGGTTTACTGTTATTCCTTCAGTAAGATGCTATGGAAGTTGTTAACTTATTATCCTACTTTGTCAGTTTTACTGTTGAAGGTGGTGCACTAAGCTACTAGAAAAATCCCAGTATGCAAGTAAAGCTTTAACCTTTTGGAACTGTGGCACCATGAATACTCGGCAAACTGATTAGAGCATGTAAATAAAGGCATCTGGTCCTACCTGCTCAAGTGCCTTTGCAGAAGCATTTTATAGGAAGGCATCGAATTCGACGCTTTGAGAAACGTTTCTCAAGTATCTATTTTCGTATTTGGTGTGCTAAAATAACCTTTGATCGGATCAGATGATTCCAAGTTTTTAAAGCATTTTCTTTTGAACGTCCTCACTGGTAGTGCCTTTGCCATGCA